AACCACAAACAAGCCCTGCTTGCTGGCGGATGAGCGGGGCAGAACAAGGCCCACCGTGCCCTCCGGCAACGGGCCCTGAATTTGAGACGGCATAAGGAGGACCTCCCCAGGGAGAGTGATATCCATATTTTCCTGATTGACAAGGTCAATCCCCGCACTGCCCCTTGTGGCGGCGGGAACATCGTGCATGGAGAGGGGCGCGGCCTTTGGCCTCGGGCTGGTCGCAGGCCCGACTACGAGTTTCCCGGGAGGCTGTCCTGGCTGGTTGTTAAGGCCCGGTTGAGCGACACTGCGCCGCCCAATGGTAGCCCTTTTTGCATTTGGGACACAACGTGCGGGGCCTCTGGCCTGCTTGGGGTTTGTTTCGGCACCGCCCCCCCCCCCCCCCCGGGGGCCCGGCACTCCCGCCGAAAATGCCCGGGCTTTTGGCAATTAAAGCAGTTCCCCTGAGGCTTCTGCCCCTTGTGCAGGGCAGCAGCCAATAAGGCCATCTGATGGGTCTGAGTGCCTACGTCAGCACACGCCTGTAGCAACTGTGCCAGAGTGTACTCTGGGCGCCCGACCACTGCCTGCATTGCACGGCGGCAATATGCATTGGCGTTTTCATAAGCCAGCTTTCTCATAAGCTCAGTTTGGGCCTCCGGGTTGTCGATCTGCCTTTGGACTGCCTCTTGGAGGCGGTCAATAAACTGATGGAACGGTTCTGCGGCACCCTGCCGAGTAACCGCGAAAGACTTAGAGGACTCACCCGTAGCGGGGACCCTACGAAACGCCCGACAGACACACTGACCGATAATGGGATAAGCGGCCTGTGGCATTCCCTCCGTCTGCTGGGGGATGGTCGAAAACTGTCCCGTGCCATATAACTGCTCAGCGAGATAGGCCCCCCCACCCTGTGCGGCCGCCGCAAGCGCCTCTCGCTGGTACTCGCTATCCCACACAACATATTGCACGGGAGACAGCACCATGCGGCACACATCTTTCCAGTCTTGGGGGACTAACCAATAGCCGTTCGACACACCTTCCAAGATCCCCAGGGTAAAAGTAGACTGCACCCCGGTCTCGCGAACCGCCTTGCGGAGCTCACGCAGAACCGAATAGGGGAGTGCCTGCCAGTCCACGATCTGCCCCCCGTTACCATCATCCCGCCAAAAGACGGGAAACGCCTCAAACCCACAGCTGGATTCCTTGTCGGTCAAGAGACTGGCCTCACGCGCTCGCCGCACCGCCGCAGTGACAATGCCCCCCCGACCGACAGGTCAGCTGCGGGTAAGAGGGGGGCGGTCCATCACTTGGGGACAAAAGGGAGACCGGCTTGGGACCATCGGGGCCGACCCCTCCAGCGCCTCCTTACAACA